TCCTCCTTCACCACGATAACGCATCCTCACATTCCGCTGAGGTAACAGAAGCCTAAGTGAAGGCTTCAAATGTGGATCCGGATGTGTCAGGCTAAACAAAAAGGAGTCGCAGGGTGCGAACCCTGCGACTTCTTTTTGTTTCGTTTTATGAGCTCTGAATCGGCGGTGAATGCATTCCATGAAGCCATTGAAGAAGTCCCTAAGGAAGACTGGTCCAACTGCTTTGTACAGTGGTTTCAGCGAATGCAAAAATGCATAAATTGCGAGGGAATATACTTAGAAATGTATCGTAAGTCGTATATCCAGTTTTATTCATTAGAATCCAGAAACTTTCAGTATGTCCTATGTATTATTATATTAGATACAAAACCTGTAAAAATTGGTGTATTGCGTGCATAAAAAAATTAATAAAACTTTCTTCATGTTGTATCATTTTTACTATTTTAGTAACATATTTATTTTGTTGTTTGCACTAATAATAATTTTGCCTAAATTACTACAAAATAAATATAATAGTAATAATTAGAATTTGAGTGTTAAAAAGAGAACAGAAAACGAAAGGAAAGAAAGAAAAAGAGTATAAAAAAAAGATAAGAAAATTAAGGTTGATAAATTTCTGTATCCGTTAAGTCCGCGTCTGTGTAGTAGTTGTCAAGTTGAGAATTCCTACATAGACGCGTGAAGTTTGTCAAATCTATTGTATTTCCAATGTAAGTAATATTCCTTTATAGACCTATGTCTTAGCGTTCGATGGATTCATCGTGCGGGTGCCGGGTGCATCACGTGATAGATGGGGGCAACACACGAGACTTCGACAGCGCCTGGGAATTGCGACCCATTTATAGGTTCAGGGAGTACACCTTGCGTCAGCGCTCACCTCTACTGTCTGCTGTGTTACCCCCTCTAAATCGATACGTTGGCATGATATTTTATTTTGTTTTGCATGGCAAATTAATTTAGATCGACTTTTATTATAATTATTACTTTCCTTAAAGTACTAGCTGTTTTTTTTAAGTAAATTATCCTGTATGACAACGCACTAATATAATTTAATTTCTTATTTTTTTCCGAATGAAATGAATACTATTATGATTGTAATGCTGCTGAATACCAGCCATTGAATACCGTATGACATTAAACTGAAAACAGCTATCATATACTACCCTGGCTGTGGCCAGTTCCAACACAAAAATAACTTATGTTTAATACCAAACATATGATAGATTTCTGATAGTATCCCGATTTTCATAAATCACTACATTTTTTCAGGTACTAAAGAAGGTAAACATCAAGAACCCTTATCTTCCTACAACCCCAAAATAAATTGCGGCATTCGAAAGAAACTTAAGTGCAATCCCGACTCCTTGCCATTCCAGACTACTTTCGTGTTCAGGGCTGTCACTTAAATGAAATCAATGTTAAAATTGAGCATTATAAATAAAATTTAAGCAATTAAGGCCAATTATTCTGCGACTTAACATTGCGTAGTGCGATGATTTAAATACTTGACTGAGTTAATACGACCCGCAATTTCCCTATGTAAAGTCCCTGAATGGGTAAAAGCAATTAATTATTACAATTGAACTCAATTAAGACACCCACAAATATTTATGTATATGTACATTAAAGCTTAGGAAAGTCTCTTCTAGGTATCTAGAATTTCAAACTGCGTATTAATTGCGATTTTCTCAATAATAATAACATCCTGACATATTTAACACGGCCGCCTGATCCCAAACTAGCAGAGCCTATGGGAACCAGAGTGCTGATAAATATACTTATATATTTATAAATACATATACATATTATAGATAAATTACACCCAGACACAGAACAAATGATAACACAATTATTCCTATTATATTGGAAACTCGATGGCGTTGTGTGTTGGATGACGAAATATTATATTATATATTATATTGGATGGGAATCTGACAAACGGCCCCTGGCTTATCAGTCAGTAGCACTAACCACTAGACTCATCATTTCATCAATTATAAATCTCCCTTTAAATTAACTCTAATAACTTTGAATAGTATAGTCTTTTGGCTTATTAATTCAGCAAACTAGGTACCTATACTTAGAAATGTACGAGTAATAATATAAATTTGACTTATTTTTCTAGTCGTGTTGCTTCTACTTTCTAGTATAATTATATAGAATTCAATAATTCTTAAGACGCTTAGTTTAAAATGGTATTTTGGCTATTCTTGCAACCCTGAAAAAAACTCATTTGAACTCCCTTAAACCGTTGCATTTGTAGTTGATTAAAAAGCCACTTACACCTGTTCGAGATGCGGATTACCTTGAGCGAGTTGATTTACGTTAGCCTGTATTAAAACGATCGTATTTATTTTATTGTGGAAATTAAAACCGTAGAGCTACTTATTACTTTTACTTTATTACCTTTATTTTTAATCTCATTTTATGTTTTGTAACGGTCACGTGAAATGAGTATTAGCAGTACATAAATAAATAAAAGAAATATAACTGTAGGAAATAGCTTTGATATGGTATAAGGGAGGGGGGTTGCAAACGAGCAGACGGCCTGATGGTAAGTGACTATGGACACTTATCATTATCATGATGAAATAATCATTATCATCACATCAACGTCACACATCAATTGCCACATTTTCATTGCCCGTCTCTTTCGGAGTTAGGGGCAAAGGCAATGATTGACCTCCAGTAACTCTACTCCGTGTCCGTGTGGTGACGGATTAAGAATACGAAGTGTCACCACCCTTATTCATCCCGTGGGTGTCGTAAGAGCCGACTGAGGAAGCAAACTACACAGGACAACAGCACAGCAAAGAGAAGGAAAACTTCAAACAACCCTATACCAACATATCTGGCCAGCGTGGTATAATAGGACAAAACCTTTTTAAGAAGAGGCATAAGCCTCTCTTAAAGGTTTTGGCCTTTAACAGTCCACTGCTGGCCATAAGTCCAGCCGTGGACTGTTAAAGTTTAAGGATGATGATGAACCTTACTCAATTTTTGAAAAAGAACGAAAAAAATTCCTAACACCAGTTTCCTTTTTGAGGCTTAGAAGACCCAGCCCATATGTGTACTGCAACATGACTCTCTCTCGGTTACTGTTAGCTCGTGAAAAATAGCAAGATTAAATCTATATTACGAGCATTTGATACCGTTTCATAAATTAAAAAAAAGAACAAAAAGAAATTGTGAGAACAGTTAGACATGAACGAAAATAAAAATGTTCTTTTCCCACTGGTGGAAAAAAAAAACTCACAACGTAAAACGAAGTGCTTTAAATTTTAATGGAGGGAATGGTCCCGCTTTGTAGATGAGAGATATTTTAAGTCTGCACTCTAGAAAGATACTCAATCGTTACATTTCCCAAAAAAAAAACAGACGTAGAGAGAGAGAGAATTTAGTGTATGATTTATACAAATAATATATAATTATATGTGGTTTTCTGAAACTGTGACCATTTAAACCGAAATAATGGTCAGGTTCAGTGATAGTCTTTGGCGTAAATGTCCCTTCGTAGAAGCATCGTTTTACACAAACAGATTCGAATAGGACTATATTGAGAGCATTTTGTTCGCAAGTATATCTGCTTTTCTTCTTGAGTCTCGAAAATCTTTCCGTACTAAATTTGAACACCACTTTTTTATTGTATGTGTATTGTTTTATTTTTTTCATTCATTGTGTTACTTAGAGTTTGATATTTAATCAATGTTTTAATTCGTATGAGCTTAGATTTTTACTCAAACATTTAAAAAAAAAGCAACAAAACACAATGAAGTAAGTAGTAACAGTGAATCATAAATAGATATTAAAAGTTTTTAGATAAAATCATCCACAAAATGATTTAAAGCCACAACCCTATACGTATTTTAGTCTAGTAAGCTTTTTTATATAGACAAGTGTAATGTAAATAGGTTTATGTTTATTTTCATTTCGTGACGTTCGTGTGTGTTTATTATTAGAAATGTTATTAATTAACCAGTATGACTCTTGGTCTACTTCTAATATGATATCATTTCCACAAGCTATGTAGCATCAAATTTTGAGTCATCAAACTTATAACATCTGTCCAAGACTATTTGTGACATGTTGAAATATTTTTGAAATCATTACTGTTCCCTCTAGGTCGTAAAATATTATTTAATTGACTAACCTGGTCATATCACTAAGATTAATAGCCTCCATTCATTTTTGAACTCCTGCCAATGTGTATAACCATACAAGATTAGATAAGATTGGATTCATACCGCACACCGCGAAATTTAATATTAATGCTTTGCGGGATAAGGTGTTTACTCACTTCAATATTACTATTAGTAATCATAATTGAGGTATATACATTCTTAGAAACATTGATGGTATTGAAATCAAATCTCTCATAAATTAATTAATTTAACAGACAAAGTGTTAAAGTTTAAAGGTGTCTATATATTTTGTACGTGGGCTGTGTATCCATTTGCAGCATAGGTTGAACTGCATTGGAAAGCTTTTTTGTGTTTAGTCCGTAGTCGTCTGTCAAAAACGTCAGAGTGAACCGATAAAAGTCATTATTATTTTTTTGGGTTAAGGGTCCACCTCTAACTGTTAGCTTAAAAATAACAAGATAGCAGTATACAAAATAGAATAAGGAGGAAAAAGAAGAAAAATTATTAAGGCTGTATTAGCTCTGATAGCTTAATAGTACTTTTAGTCCAACTTATAAAATCCAATACGCACTTGGCCAGTATTTTCTGGGGAAAATGTCATAAAGCGAAAAATAAAGAATTATTTATTGACCTCGAAAGTTTTACCGGTTTTCATCTAAATATTAATTAGTTGAAGCAAACATCATCCCTAATCTTGGAATCTGCGTGCATCCGCCAGAAATAAATAATTATCTTGACTGACGGCAAATGCAATGTAAATTTGAAATGTTAATGTGTAGTTACTATTCATACTCTAGCCTGTACGGTCGTGAGTAGAGACACACTTCTAAGTTAAAAGTTTTGCATATTTTAAACATCATGGAAGAAGTTGATTCTATTTGTACGGAAAAAAATGTAAGTCCTTTAAATTTCGATTCCATTTTTAATGCTTCGGATTTTAATAACACTTATAACAGAGACCTAAAGCTCTTGTAAATTAAACTGTGAGCAAAGTTTTGACAGGTAAGTAATTTCCCTTCTCAAAATTCAGAGTTGATTCAAGAGTTTGTGAATTCACCAGTGTTATCTTTTCCGGTCATTTTAAGAACAAAATTAATATTTTATATTTTATAGAAAGTGTTTGACTTTATCGAGCAAAAGCTTTCCATATTACTTGTAGACTTCAAACAGGCATTAAGTCCGCATATGTATAAATTTGCATACATATTAAAACGAAATAAATATTGTAATTGTTTGTGTATGGTAAAAATAAACTTTTCATGACATGAATAGTAATATATTGAATATAGTAAATAATTTTTACAAATGAATAATATATGAAGATACAATATAATAGATAAATATATTATAAATGTTGATAGGTATTAAAATTTAAATATTAATGTATTTTTGGTGTTTCTGGTGGAGTTCCTGGTTAAAAGTTAAGCTAGTTAATGTAACTTGAAAAAACTTTCATAAAAATATACCTACTAAAAACTTTCAAGTTCAATTAATTACCAGTTTCAAAAACGTTCAACCTTATAGTTTTACATATTAATAATATGTAAGTTTGTGTATGTATGAAACAAGGTAAGTATTTATGTATGCGGTACGTATGCATGTATCTCTGTATATTTATCGCGCTGTTTCTGTCTAACTTCTCAATCATTTTCTTTTACTTAACATATCAATCTCTAGTGCACCTAGTCACACATTTCAGCACCACCCCAAGGTAGACAAAATGCCTGTGGCATTAAGTCTGCCATTGTACAACTCGTACTTGTGCATTAAGAATTAAAAACAAAATAAAATACGAGTTCTACATTTAAAAAATATTCTATCATTGTCAGCGCTATTAGTTACTCCTGGGATGTACTACATCACTCTGAAATATTTTATAATACTGTATAGTGCTAACACTATATTAAACACCTTAAAAGCTTTTATAGTAACGGAAAGTTGACGGTTAATATTTCAATGCCTTTCTTATTTATCTCAAAAATAGGACGGTAGAAAAAGAAAATAAAAGAAAAAATTAGAAAAAGGAAATAAAGAAAATAAAAGGAATAATACAACATTTTACTTAAATGTTACGTTTCTTTGTTTAGAATAATTTGAAGGAAGAGCGTCGCCGCAGTCGGCCTGATGATGGCAAGGATGAAATAAAGAAATTTAAAGAGAGTCTACTGCAGTCTCTTACACCTGGAGAGTAAGTATTAACTTAATGAATACTTAAAGAAATTTGAAATACTCAAAGTTTATGTATTCCAAATAAGATAGCTAAATCCTTCAACAATATGCCTTACAATTAAAAATAAATACGTGAAAACGGGTACATTATATAGCATTCACCATTTTCAAGTTTAGATGTATTTTGCAATAACACAAAAAAAAGAATTACTAGGATGGCGTAGTGGTTTAAGTGGTCGCCACGTCACTTTCCACTACGCTGAATTCTGTGGGCTCGATCCCAACATGGGACGACACATTTGTGAGCCACGAATTGTTGTTCTAAATCTGGGTGTTCGTTGTGTTCCTTGAAAGGAATATATCTAATGTGGGAGTTGTATTTGAAAGCAAAAATATTAATTAAATAATAAATAAATATAATTAAAATAATTAGATTTAAATGCCACCAGTGTTTACTAAAATTCTGCTTAAATGATTTCGTAACTTGTTACCAATAAAATACCAGTCAATATTGCAATAATAATATAAGAAGAGGCCTTAAGGAAAGCAGTAGACAAATAAAAGCTAATGATGATGATTAAATACTGCAAATATATAAACAAGACAGTAATTAACTAAAATTATTATTATTTATAACAAAACTCAGGATAAAGCTACCGGTCATTATTTTATTTCAACTATCCGTATATTTTGTTCCCTCATACCTAAACGACTTTCCGAAACCAATAATATCTGATATCAAAATTTCACCTAACATTTTATTTTCCAACAGTTCTATAATAACGGAAAGTGGGAACGATTCGATAACGGTGCCACAACCATCGAGATCTCGCTCTGCGTCGAGAGCTAGAGAAGCTCTTTGTATACCAGCTAACGTTTTGGCAGAACTGGATGATAATAAAATATTTGAATTAAAAGAGGTATATTTTCTTTTTCTAGTACATGTGTTACTAATATATTATACTTCAAAGTGTCCTATAACTACTGAAGTGTTTTTACCTCACATTGACATAAACTGTCCATAGTTACTTATTAAAAAGGTTCTTGATCTAATTTTAACGTCATCCACCAATCTTTTCATCTAGATTTTATTCCGCTGCTATACATACTCGCCGAATAAAGAAGAAGAAGAAAAAAAACTAATTTAATACTTAAACGTAATTAATATGCGAGAAAAAAACTAATCAATGAAGTATGCTAATTGACTAAGTCTTTTTGCCACTTCTGATTTTCATTGTTCCAAAAATATTTGTTCTAACCTCACTTCTAATGTTCAGTTTAATTCAGTGATTTGTATTTTATTAGTATTAGATTTAAGTATTTGTTTAAAGTAGACAGTATAAGGCACGATGTGGTTGACGTATTAATGTAGATAAACCCTATAAAAAAATGAGATAAGATAAGAAAAAAGCAATTTGATCACGATATGCCATTTTCATCATAGTTTAATTTAATATCGCATGCCTAAATACTTGTCATTTTACTAAGTTTAAGTTTCACAAGCTTGATATGAAATTTCGACCACAAAAAGCTTTACATCTGAAAAAGTAATTAGTTCCTAGTGTTTTTTCTATTGAGATCTTGAAAATATTATATATTTACTCCGAGAGAGAGAATCCTCAGAATTACTCTCCAAATCATTGGTCTAATTTCCAAGAGAATGTTGCAAGGTATGTTTATATTCCAGGCGTTTCTACTTTTCGACATGGATGGCGATGGATGTATCAACTTCAGTGACCTTCGGGCTACATTAGTTAGTTTGGGTGATAATATCGACGAAAATGCTATACGGAATATGTTGGCAGAGGTTAGTACAATCACTTTTATTACCTTTACTTGTACAGCTAGAAATAACAGATACATGAATAAAAAAATGAACAAAACACGAATATATTCGTGCTGTAAAGATGAATCTTATAATATATTTTAATCGTCAGAAACTTTTTGTGTTTTTAACTAATTTATTTATATTTTAAAGATAGACCTTTTAGAGGTAGGCACGTTTTTGAGTAGACTATTTATGTGTGGTGCAATGAAAAGGCTCACGTTTACTCTAGTATTTAAGTACCAATTAAAGTGTATAAAGAGTGGAGATACCTAAGATTATGAAAAAAATCTGATTTATAACTCTCCTATATAGTCTACTCTCAGATTTCATTACCTCCTCCAAACAATTGAACCAGATCCAATTTTATTGTGCAGAGCTTAATGTATAATAAATTTGTCTTGAAATGTTGGTATCTACTATTCTCAGAATTCAATCAACATTGATTGAAATTGACATTAAGCGAAGATTTCATTTAAGAAAAATTGCTTTTGGATTTCATTTAAGTTTATGTATGTCTACTTAGAATGCTAGTTTGAAAATCCATATTTCTAAATAAGAGTCTTAATGATAATATGTAATATTTGCGAGTACTCCACTCGCAAATATTACAAAAAAGACTCTTAGGCCCAGCTGAACCACGCAATAGGGCAACAACGTCATTACTGAAGCAATTGGCAGGGGGAAGTTTGCAGCTTTCGCTGGGATAGGCCCTGGTTGGGCGTGTCGTCGATTCCGGGAGGACCTGAAATCGCATGGTCCGAGTTCTCCCCAGAGTAAAGTGGATCCATTATCTATTAGCACAATCATTATCTTCACTGAAAAACAACAGCACTAATTAAATAAGCGTGCAAATAGAAAACAGAAGGCAATTAACTAAGGCAACAATTTCAAACACAAACACTGAAATAATTCATCCAATAAGAATAAAATAACAAAGTCTATTCGCTGACGGCAGCATCTTAAAACAGATACAAACTTAGCTTTTCTTTTAATTCTACTTAAGTATTGTTAGGGAAGTTTTTGGGCCCTGACGAAAGAGGCCTCTAAGCCCATGTCAATCCACCGCGCAGACGAGGTCACAGGGATTTACCCTTACTGTTTTACGGATCAAATTTAAATTCTCATGTCTAGGATATTGTCTGGAGATTTCACGGCATTACACTGTATTCTTTCCTGCATCATGATTATTTGCAACTTATTTTCTAGCTTTCCCGGTTATGTCTGTTATTAAGCGTTGGTAAGCTGAACTGCGAGCTAACCTGCTCAAAGATGATGTGTACCGAACATGAGTGTGTTTCAAAATTAATGGAAATTGAATAGTCCCTGATACGTATAATATTTAGTCCCTTATACGTATAACATCTTTTATTTAGTTTAGGTTTAACAATGCTATATAAACTTCATACCACTTACATCACGTTTTCTTTTCACATTTTTTTATCATAAATTTTTGAAAAATAAGTAATGTATTTTATTTTAATTCTATTCATGTTAAAAATTGAATTCCATCCCTAACTTAATTAAATTGTTTTGTCTCCAAAACCTTTTCTTTTAACAATTTTAATTTACTTTTAATTTATAATGTTTTACCCTATCTAGTTATATGAGCCGTATATCAGTTATTATTATTAAAAATCGACTGTGCAGTGATCCTTATCCATATTTTTGGTTCAAGTAAATATTTATCTTGCCTGACATAAATTCCATATCGTAATTTAAATTTTTACCTTAAAATATGAGTACCCTTTTAGCTGAAAATCAGATAAGGTAATCCAATTTATTTTAACTGAGGTCCAATCCGATAATGCATATTAAAATTAGGTAATACAGATTCCTTCTTTGTAATGCATTATGCCTAAAATCTAGTTTTGATAAAGGCAGAGAAACGTACCCTTTGAGAATGGGAGTAAAGTATGAGAAGCGAATACTGTGCGAGGTTTGACTACAATAATTAAAGCAATAAAATAACCTCACTAAAGACTACCTTAACGATTACGTTAAGTTCTAAATTACAAATGCAATCACACTGGTCTTATCAACTATAAAATAGAGTCTCTACCAAATAATTTTCTTTTTAAATTACTGTACAATCAATATTTTATTTTATTTTTATTCTTTATGCACAAATTATAACTCACTTGTACAATGGCGGACTTAATGCCACAGGCATTTTCTCCCAGTAAACCTTTGGGTGGTGGGAAAATGTCTAAGTAGGTGCACTAGAAATTAAGTTTTGTTTTAAAAAGATAATAATTATACTTAATTGAGGAGTGGACATAAACAGTGGGACAGATATATATAAATACATACTAAAATACACATACACATATAATAGCTGAGTTACATACATACATATAATACACACAAACAATATATAAAGCTTTACAGTTATGATGAATCTGCTCTGGTCTCCAGAATGCGAGCTCTAGCTTTCGACTTAAATGAGAGGCGGCTGGGTGCTATCCTGATTTAGAGAGCATACATCACCATAATCTAAGATGACGACAATTAGGGTCTGTACTAGCATCGCTTTTGTCTCGGGAGGAACGCAGTTTCTAAGTCGATAGAAGGCCCGTAGCGTACTTGTACTACTCTGGCTAACACTGGTGACCTGGGTTGACCTGGGATGAGATTGATAAATATTGAGAATAATTATGGAGAAAGAATGCCACCTTGAGTCCCCTCAAGGTTCCCCACCACAGACAAGTTCACGCCAACTTAAGGAGGCAACATCGACGTGGATAGACTGTTGTCGCCCCTGGAGATATCACGAGAACCATTCCAGTGTATCAGGCGTAATCATAAGATAGGAAAGGATGGATAGAAGGATATCGTGATTGACGGTGTTGAATGCATTAAGGACAATAAATATTAATTAAAGAATTAATTTTGCTCCCTAAACACTGACTAAATTTTGAAAAAGTGAAAGTCTGTTGGGGCAAGGTCCAGTGAATACAGTGGGTGACGGAGAGCTTCTAGCTGTAACTATAACAGACTATCGCAATGCTATAAGTAGCATTGCGATAGTCTGTCATGGAGTATCAGCTCACACGTTGTCGTGGAGAAGTAAAGGGGAAGAACGATTAACCAGTAGTGGTTGTTAAATTGCGAGCTTCTATTACTATACTTCTATTACTCGAACTAGATTTAAAATTATGAATATTTTTTACTCTTTTAGGCTCCAAGCCCTTTGGATTTTGATGGTTTCGTCAATTTGTTGGGGTATAAGACTCTTGAGTTGGATTCAGAAGAAACATTGTTAGCAGCATTGTCACGCTGGGAGGATAGTAACAAGAAAGGACTTATAGCGGAAGAAAGGTAATTAATTATGAGCTCAAAAATATATAGATTATTTTGTGTAATAGGCAAATATGGGAGAGCCCCATGCTTCTGCACATACGGGCCGTCTCGGTCCGAGTGGCCGCACAGTATACTAGTGTTAAGTAATTCTTTTGGCACTTTTTACCGAGAGAATGAGTTACCGATAGACCAATTAGTTTTGGTGGGCACACAAAGAATGATAATGCACTTGTGTCTCCAGAGTTGCAGGTCTCTATAGACAACAGTAGTTCTTTACAATCAGGTGACCCGCCAGGTTGTTTTCCCCTTATGTCATCAAAAAAAATGGTTTAAGAATAACTTCCTTTTCCTGCTTCTTTCTGCCTTATCTCTAAAGCTACTATGGGTATGGGATATCCTTATAGGTAAAGCAGGTGCTTTACAATTGATATTGGAGATTTTAACCGTATGTTATGTCTGGATACTGACTAAAACAGCACGCCGTCTTGGATATCAACGAAGTGTAATCTAGAAAGGAAATCTACAGCTTACAGATGGTAGTGTGTTCCTCATTCACTTAGTTAAAATAAAGCATAGCATATTTAATCGAACAAACGGTTTACCATTGGCTTTGTGTAAATTAGCTTTTATAATTTTAATAAAATATCTATCCCTTGGTTTAGGTCACAGTTTAAACACCAATGTACTTATAAAATAATTAGTCTCTAATATTAAAGCTTCCGTCTTAAACTGAAAATTTATAGCTGAACTTAGGAGAACTCTGTACTCCCAGAAATTTCATTAAACATAAATCTTAAAGTTGCATGCTATTCAGAATATTTATGTGAACCACCCAATAATGAATTTACATCATCAGGCAACTAATAACTTAGTAACTATGAGAATGGTCCAACTTAAGTAATCCCCAGTGTATTGAGCCCGCTAATAAAGTTCGACTTGAAATTTAAACTGTTGTGCCTACATACTTAACTATATATTAATGAAACTATCGTCCATTTCGTATACACTCATTGAAATAGCAGTTTATTTGTATCGTTCTGTTTTTTCTTCTTAAAAAAAGACAACGCCCGGATTAGGAATATAATAATATCCTCTGTCGCGGGGGACTTTACAACCATACATGAAACGGACACAAAGAATACCCAGCCTCAGAACAACAATTTATGGATCACACAAAGTGTCGTCGCATCGCGTCGGGGTTTGAAATGGTGACCAAAGCCGACAGCCGAATTACCAACAACCGTAAAGCTTCTTATTTTACTTTGTGGTATTTGAATACTTAGTAGTCTAAAAATGGTATAAATAGAGTGAACGAAATATTGTCCTCGTCAATTTTTCCAACAAACCTTCTGTTCCTTCTGTTCATTTCTATTTATTCTGTAATGATATACCAATAGGTTACAATTATTTATTTATTTGTCATTTATAAATGTATCATACAGTAGCAAGTACGTATTGCGAACACAAACCACGCAACCTTTAAATTCAATGTTTTGTTGGCTGCACGGGTATTCCTTTATTACTGTGATTTGAGTACATTTGTCTTTTAGGATACAATTTCACTAAGGTAAAATATAATATTGGTTACCTGGACTGGTTTCCTCTACGTATGTATTATATTTCTCTTTTACAATACTGAAGCCACAGTTCTCTGTTATCATGCTGGGCTAAAACAGAGTTTGAAATAAAATAGAAACAAAAATTTCTTGAGTTTTGCACTCGTTCTCGGCCCTCCGTTGGGTTGAGAAAATAGTCTGGTATCCCCGAAAGACAAAAGATGAGTACAGCAGTATGGTTTCAATTAATAATAGACATTGCTTGGCGGTCGAATTTCGACCGGTTTGAATATTTTGTTTTATTTAAATGACAGCCTCGGTGGTGCAGTGGCAGCGTAGTCGACTGCTGTTCTGAGGTGTGATCTGCAAATATTTGTTTCCGAGTTCGGGGGTTTTCTATGTATAATTTGTATGTATTTATAAAAAAAGGTAGATCAGTATTCTACCAGTCAATCTAGCTATCACAGTACAAGCTCTGTTTAATTTAAAACTAGATAACATTGTGTGTTAGATGTCTGAAACATTATATATATTTATATATATGTATTTAATTAACAAGTCTAACTTGAATTGTCATTTTAAAAACTTTTGTACCTTAACAAATCAATGTATATGGACCTCTATCGTTTTAGGTTGCCATTTTTACATAATTTTAAACTTTATGCCTAGTGTTCATAAATGTTACATTTCTGCACTCCCTCTTAATATAAATTTCACACGCTATTCAATTTTCGTAAAAAGGACTGGCAAGTTTTTGCTTTAAGTACTATTATATAGATAAAACAAAGCTTTTACGTTATTTTGATAACGCAAGAAAGTTTTCTCACAAAAACTTTTTGATTTGTTTTAAGTTTTATGTGTTGGTACGGAACCAGACTTAAGAATTATAATCATAAAAATACATGTTGAGGAAATGCTATGCAAGGATACTTGCATACATTACGAACATACATGTGTACATATTTATCACTAAGAGTCAATTTCTTACAGGCAACCGTAGGCAAGATATAATTTATTTCAACCCTATCAGATAGTCGAGGGGCCAATAGGTCCAGTGGTTATCAAGTAGTTAGTGAACCTGACTGTCGTCAAGAAGCCATGTGTTAATTCCCACCAACGACATATAAATTGATTGTGTGATGAGCACGCAACTTTTAAATAAATATAAGTATTCTATCAACAATCCCGTTACCATAATAAAAGCTCTGACGAGTTTAGGACTAGAGAGTTGTGTCTTAGTTTGTCTAATTGCTATTGTTATTGAAATAAAAATATACTAAACTTTACCTCGGTTATTTGCGTTTCACATTCACATTTAATTACATCAATCCCCAATGAATAACACAATAATATCTTAATAGCCATAAAATTGTTCCGTTTAAATGTACATTACACGAGAGAATCATAAATATTACAAATCAAGATTTAAATTACGTTTTCAGATATTTGTATGATGTATTCAGGGCTAGGGTAGCCGACAAGCTGTGATTTAAACCGGCCCTGGGGCCGCGCCGTTCCGGTATCTGCATGACTTTTGTTTTGAGATTAAATGGTCATTTTGTATATTGAACATCAAATTAATAAAAAAATATGTGTATATTCTCTATCCCGAATATGTGTATAAACAGTTACTAAATTTTGAAACTGAACTTAGAATTGTCACTAGTTATTTTGGATTGACGACTAGAAATTCCAATTATTTAATTTACTGTCTTCTAAGATTATGTTGATTTTTTTTGCATAAGACGACACTCATGTAACATAAAACTAAAGCGAAGAAAATAAAAAAATGTCCACTAGTATACACATCAAAGTTAAAGTCCAATTATGGAGCTATGTGGAGTATCTTTATTCTACAAGTATTTGAAATAAATTAAACGATTTACATTTATTTTTTTCACCTAATATTATAGCAGTTACGCTTCTTCTAAGATTTTTAACTAATATTTAACTTTTAAACTGATCTTCTAAAACTATTTAACTACTCTTTTACTTTTACTGTGATTTCTGTACTTCACTAAGAGCAGTAAGTCATAGATAAGTTGAAGACGATCTCGCTCAAAAATGAGCGAAATGACATTTTTGAGTGAACGAAAAATGTCAACATGCTCTAAGCATTTTGACATTTTTACTGACCATTAGAAAGATCAAAACCACTAAATGAAATAGCCATTTTTTATTTATCAAATAAAAATTTAATAATATGTGTAGTATACAATGATAGTAATCTAGTAATGTATTTCAAAAATAAGAGTATTAGATAAAATCTTTTTGCAGTTCCATACCCAGAGAGTACCAACCTACACCTCATTATTCTTTTGTGAACTGAGATACAGTCAGTTGAAAATTTCACGGAGTATGTAGATGTTTCAGATATTAAATGAAATATATAAAAAAATCGCAATTTTCCTGTAATCTTGTATGATGTTTCGTAACCTGTCTGCCAGTTCGACTTGAACTAAGACAGTGTTTTTATAATTTTTAAATGATTTGTCTGTAACTGGAGAATTCAGGACGACCTTCGTCGTTACGATTGGACTCATCCGAGTAATTGTCTAGCAATTTATTAAATGATTTGTCGACATATTTCAGAATTCATCTCAAATTTTCATCTACTAACGATCTCAGTTATGAATCTTTTACAGTGTCAACAATTTAATAAGTCATATCCTTTCCAGACAGGTAACTTGATTAACTTCGTTGTTACTGAAGCGAACAGAGGTTCGCTATTGTGTAGGTGCCATAGTTCACTGATGGGTATTTACACAATGCGATAGGGGCGACCTTTTTCACCTAACACACAAGGTGTTTTAAATAAAGGAAACAACCAAATAAGATGTTTTCTTTTTGAAGTTTTCACGTGAGTCTAAATCGAGTCTACTCTGAAGTCTTTACTATTGTAAAGACTTCAGAGTAGACTCGATTATTTAAAAATAAAATTCCTGAAGACCAATATTTAAACAATTCTTTACGTTTTACTTGATTCAGAAATTTTCTAGACTACATATTTATATAGAACGATATACCTACGAGTTAGAGTACACCCATAACCCGTTTCACGTAAAATAAGCATTTCCTGAGATATTTCAAAATATGGGTTAGATTTTCCAGATTGAAGAAAAATATCTAATATGGGAACTCTGAAATATAACACAGTGCTTTAATACCCTTTGGGGTTCCTCATTAAAAAAGAAAACCATTTTAAAACAACGGTGATGTCCATCTATCTCCTCTCAACCGTAGTCCCAGAAAAGTGTTTAAATATAATACACTTGAATTAACAATAAATATTTTCCTTGAAGCTATAAAATCATCCAGTTTTAAAGTCACAGCACTCAAACGATACGGCTACTGAAACTTTATGTTTATACCAATTTTAACACTCAGTAAATCATAACATCATAGTTGAGTTTTCATTGACCTAGAATCATGCAATTTATTTTATATTGCATAAAACAATAT